TGCTTGCTATTGCTATTGCCATTCCACTCACTCAAACACACACACCGTAAAGGCAACGAAAAATTCGCTCAAAAACATTTAAGGTTATTGGCATACCCTTGCAAGGAGAAGAGGTATGATGATATCGATCAGATGTCCGTCGAGCAATGAAAGTATGAGCCGGGCTTATAAAAATTCCAAGGAAATGGTTATAAGTACTTAGAAAAAGTAAGAAATCCTATCGAAATCATGACATTCAATGATAACTTTGGATTTGTCAGAGTATTAACAGCTTCTACCCCCTCCAAAATTAGTCTTTCTCTCATTCTTTTCTTATTTTAATGTTGTTTAAGGCGATGTCGAGCTGACTCAATTAGCGTGTCGCTCATGCGTAATACACAAAAATCTACAATAAACTTTAACTGGAAAATTTTCTCATAAATATGTATTAACAAATACGTCGTTATCCCCCTGCAAACCGCTTCGCTTTGATTTTTTTAATATGAATTTCAATGAGATGAGAATAACATGAGGCCAGAAAACTGCGATTGTAAATAGAGGGGGCACATAACACCATAGAGAGCGCGAGCACATGATATTCACACCAAGGGCAATCAATATGGTTTTTGGAACACTTAAAACAAGAATAATGCATGAACTATCTTTTCTACGATAGGTTGCTAATTTGTTTGAGCCACAAATTTCACCTATATCACGTTTCGATGGTCAAATTTGAATAAACGCGCCGATAGTCTTCGATGCTGATGTGGTGAGGTGGCAACGCTTCGGAAGTGCTTACCAAAAGGTGGCAGCACTAGCCGTCACAAATGGCGGCACTGTGCCGTTTAACGGTCATTATGTTCATTTCCTTAGCACAACAGATGACGCCAGTTGGTTTATTTTGGGTGGCAGCTGTAAAACCAAATCATCTAATAAATACTATAAGCTAGGGCAGGGACAACATTTAACACTAATGAGACATTAGATTACCGCCAGCTGGTCTCCTATGGGCAATAATCTTCAGGGGTGTGCCAGAACATGCAGGACATAGTTTTCTTGATCTTAATTCCGAATACGCCTGGCCCCTGGCAATTCTTTCCGCCTGCCCTTAGTTAGATCTTCATCTATTCTTTGTATCTTGCCCTGTCCTCCAATCGGATAAAACCCATCTATCCCAACTTCCCTATAAAATGTCCTTTCTTCCGTAATCTTCCTCACATACCTGTAGGTAACAAAAAAATTTAAATTTTTAAAGACACCATCGAGTTTATTTATTATATCATGAATCTGTCAGCAAATTCGCAGATCTCACGGATCTGTCGACGGATCTGCTGGCTCACGGCGCTGCGCTCCATGACAGTCTCCGCGGTCTGTGCCTGATTGATGAGTGCTAGCTTCCTGTAGACGGCATTTGCAAACTCGATAAGGAGGCTCAAGTAAGCGGGAAAGCGTTGATGGAGGCGATTTACACGATTTTGATCCACACTGGCTCTGACTTTTAACACGTCCAGATATAATTTTAATAATTCATTATACTGCTCGTTCTCTGCGATTGGTTCTTCGTTCGGGTTCTGGTCCTGGTTCTGGTCCTGGTCCTGGTCCTGGTCCCCCTGGTTCCACACCAATGGATTGTCGTCGCGTATAAATGGTGCCATTTCTCTCGGGCCTTTTGTTTTCCCTAATATTTATAATTCTAAATGTAATGTCGGTAGAGCCGTATGAAAAAATTTTTTATATAAAAACAAAAAAATACAACAAAATATTGAAAAACGAGACGTGTACTCACCTAGGAAAACAAATTTGTTGTGATAAAAACCATGTCGGTACTTCCACTGAAAGCTGACTTCGTAAAAGCATGGCCTGCCAAGTGCCACTATTTACAGGATTCCTAGTAGCCTTTTCGTAAGTAGTCCTATCAATCAGGATTAGTTGGGAACGAAAGTATATGGCTTCGTTGTTGCTTGACCGTATGATAGGCACAGAATTACCTTTCAAAGATGTTACCGCGTTCCCTCTAACAGCCTGAACTTGTGCCAAAACTAAGTCCCAAAAGCCTGAACTTATTCCACACTAAATCAAGGCATAACTATACGTAGGTCCAAAGATAGTTGGCCTTTTAACATTTAAGCGTCTTCCTTCTATAGCCATCCATAATTTGGAAAAGGAAAAGGTCAGGGACTAATTGAACCGCCCTCGTAAATATGTTTATAGATGCGGACTCAGAATTAGGTTAGTCGGATCGCCATCTAAATACAGATATTAAAGTATATTTTTTGGCCACCATATCACTATAACACATTAACCAATAAAAAAATACCAAATACATATATAGATCAAAATCTCTTCCGATATTTGACTCAAAACTGAAATGTTTCACCGCCAAACAGTTTCTTGGATGTAAATTCTTGATAAATCGTGGCCCATCGCAAGCGAGGCGAGGGGTGGCGCAGGGGTCTTGCCCCTAGTATAATATAAATAGTATAATATAAGTTTAATTTTGTGATAAGATGCAAATATATTTTTTTTTAGCTTGTTCCCCACCTTATAGTAGTAATCATAACTCTTTCCTTGGTACTTTTTCTGGGGTTTTGTCATCTTGAGCAAACAAATCTATCAATTAAGAAAAAAGCTTTAAGCTGTCAACACGCCCAAGTACTTTGCCGGGGGAAGAGCCATCCCCCATCCTCCTGGGGATAAGCTGCACTCATTGTTTGTCCAGCACTCAACCAAAACCCAACCCAACCCAACCCAATCCAAGCCAAGCCAAGCCAACCCCCCAGGCAGCAGCGGGGGTTTTCTTCTGTCGTGGTTTTTCTTTTCCCTTCTTCTGGCATCTTCGGCCCGTCTCTTGTCATTGGTGAAATTTGTTTTTGCCACAAGTTGAGCTTATTGCCATTGTAATGCCATCTCCGCACCCAGACCAACACCCACCCGAGGACAGGGATATCGTCTTGACGGGGAACCGCTGCCAATTGTCGACTGTTGCATGAATTATGAGCGTCTGCAAAGATTTATGAATTCGAGAGGATAACAAAAGTGCGCAAGGATTCATGACAGCGCCCCTCCCCCCACACACACAACAGGCAGACTCCCGTAGTCCCCCCGAAGCGAAAAAGGGAAAAATCTGTCAGCTGTTAAGTTGAGTTATAAATTTCCTGCAATTAGGTTGGATTTCAATTTCGCTCCTTCGCTCCTTCGCTCCTTTTTGCTCTTCTCCTACTTACTTTGATTACACAATGATGATGATGATTCTTCTCCGTTTTCTCCCCCATTCCCCCACGGTTCATGCAAATTTGTATCGACAACTTTTGTACAGACTGTACGTTTGTTTGCCTCTCGCACGGCTGTTATATTTTGCTTTGTTTCTGTTCCTGCGATTGGCTTCCATTGCAGTTTTTCTGCCTCAGTGCATTGATCGGTTGTGTACAGAAATTTGCAAACTCATGGATATCCATACGTTTGATAACAAAACAGCAGCAGTATACAAAAACAAAAGGGGAATAAAAAATGGAAAACAAGAAGCAAACGGAACAAACGGAACTCACACGCGAAACAGCGGCGACATGCAGCAGCCACACGACAAAATGACAGCGACGGAAACGGAAACGAGCCCGGCCAACGCACAAGTCGGCACACGCCCCCGCCTCGCCCCGCCCCTCATTTGGGCCGAGCGCCACTTGCATGCGTTCATTAAGCGCCGGGGAGCAAACAAAATCAATGAATGGTGTAAAAATTAATATCCTGTGGGGCCAAAAAACAAAAAGAAAAAAAAAAAACAATGCAGAGGGAATGCAAAATCATTGCAAAGAAGAGCAGCAAAAATATGTAAGAAGTCCTCAAGGGAGTTTATGCCGACTATAAGATACCCCATAATCAGATAACCAAAACACTAAAACAGTGAAGAATTATTTAATTGAAATTTGAAATGAAAATAAATGGGGCAATTCGAGTAGATTGCATAGATAGATATTGCTATTTTTCTTCTATGAAAAGAGTACACCAGCTTTTCAGATTCATGCAGTTCTTTGTAAAATCTCATTCTTTGAAAGTGCACTCAAAATTGGAGCGAAGAATACGGTATTAGAAGGAAAGAATCTATTTATTTCATAATACTTAGACTCTCAAAGTTCCAGGCGCCCATATCCAGAAACCATTAAGACAAACGCCATATGCTTCGTTCTGAACGAATACCAGTGTACCCTGTAGGGTATATTCTCTAGGGTGTAAATAGTATGCAAAAGAATTATGGGGCACCACAGGGTAGGTGGAGTAGGGAGAGGATATGGTGGGCGTGGAGCCTTCTCGTTGCCGTTGTCATCCAGCAGCCGGCAGCAGTTTTAATTTACACAAAGCGTAGTCAGCCGTGTAATGCGCTGCGCAGGAGGTGGCAGGAGGACGGGGCACGATGTTGGCGGATGAGATGGGATGGGATGGAACGGAATGAGAAGGCAAATGACGATGGTGAAAGATGGAGGAGGAGTGAGAGATGGAGCTCAGCAATTCGCGCGACGACATTTAAAAAATGCCTTGAGGCAGCAGCAACGTTGACAACGGCGTCCAATGATTTATGAAATTACTTTTACCGTTGCATACTCTTCAGGGCAGATGGAGAGAAAGAGAGACAGAGACTGTAAGAGGGATAAAAGAGGAGTGAAATGATGCAGGAAGTGAAGAAACAGGCAGCGAGTGGGATATGATATGTTGAATATCTTAGAGACTACTCTTCTGAAGAGCCTCTGTCCTTTAAAAGGCTCCCTTTCGAGATCATCATTGTAGTCGAAATGAAGAAAAAAGCTCCCAGACGTCTCTGCCTCTCTCTTCCAGTAAGTTTCTTTTGCATCTACGTTCACGCGTGACTGGCAATTTGCCGTTCAAAGCCTTGCAATTCGGAATAATAAGGCTACCAAATCATCCTACAATTACTGAGGACCGTCCAAATGAATGACGATTCCGTAGTAGATTCCGGCTATTATACACCTAATTTGATGTAAAAAAGTGCATAAACTGTTATTTCTACTCGTACTAAATATCTTTATTCATTCACAAGAGCTGTACGACATTTGGCTTGAGGCAATACCAGACCGATCTCTAATCGATCTGTGTGATGGAGGCCTCATCGTTGCTCGAACAGCGACTGCTTTCTCCATCCGTCCGGTACTTGATCGAGTCGATAATCTCCACGTCGATGTCGCAGTTGCCCTGCATATTGCCGGAGTCCAGGCCGGCGGTGGTGTCGTTCGAGCCGCGTCCCAACGAGTCCTCGTCGCACAGATCGGGAGCGGACACGGAGGCCGTGACCGAGGCCGACTCTGACCTGGCGTCCATGTCCTGGGCCTGGGCCTGATGCGCCGCAAACTGGCTGTAAAGACGGGGCAAGTGCTGCAGCATGTAGCTGGCTCCGGATTTGGACAGATTGGCCGCAGCAGCGGCGGCGGCAGCGGCCGCGGACAGATTGGCCGCCGTGCTCGAGGCCGCCGGATGGTTCTCCTTGCTCTCCCCGAGATCGTAATACTTGGCGTAGTGCTCGAATTTCCCCAGAGAAGCGGAGACTCCGCCCGGGGCGCCTCCAGCTCCAGTGGGAGTCCCACCACCGGCTGCCATGCCGCCGGATCCGTTGGAGCACAGGTTGATGGCATCGTTTTGGGCCGACTTGGGTATGGGCACGGTGAAGGCGGAGCCGTGGCGCTGCTTGCTCAACAGATTGCTGGCCAGGCCGGAAGCGGAAACAGAGCCGGCACCCGTTCCGGTCATGGTACCTGTCCCCGAATTGGAGCCGGGTGAGGAGTCCTCGCCGCTGGCGGCCAGCGCATTGTTGCTGCTGGACAATGGCGAGACATTCTCCTTCTTGCGGTCGTAGATGTGCCCGGAGACGCGCAGGTCGATGAAGAAGTGCAGCGGATCGATGCCGTACGGGGCATACAGCGGGGGATACCACACGGGTGGTGGCGGTGGCAGGACCAAATCCTGTGGCGGTAATGATGCTGCCGGCGGTGTGTTGTCCTGCATCGAACTGTCCACCGCTCCGCCCAGGCCGCCTTTGGTGGTGGTGCCGCCGGATGGTGGTGCTGGTGGGGCAGCTGCTGCGACTGTTGGGGTCTTCCCCTCCAGCTTGGCATAGCCATAGGGTGTCATGGTCTTGTTTGTCAGCTCCAGGGGCTTCTCTGCCACCGTCTGGTGCTGCTGCTGATGTTGCTGATGCTGCAACTGTTGCTGCTGCTGCTGCTGTTGCTGTTGCTGCTTCTCCTCCGCATCGCGTCGTTCCCTTAGTTGCTCGTAGTAGGGACGATGCGACCAGGATCGCTTACGGGGACGCCGCACCAGGGCCGCCTGCTGCTGTTGCTGCTGCTGTTGTTGCTGCTGTTGCTGCTGTTGCTGTTGCTGCAACTGCAACACGCGAGCTGTCTCATTGTTGCGGGCCTGCACGAGGGTCCGCAGCATGTCGCTGAAGAAGAAATTATTTGGCCCCACCGGCGCCGAGTACAGATACGGCGGCGTGGCGGCCATCAGGCGACTCACGTAGTCCTGGTTCCGCAGCTCGTGGATGTTGCTCTTGCCACGCTGCTGTGGCGGCGTCTGCTGCGATGTGGCGGCTGCTTGTGCCGCTGCTGCTGCGGCTGCGGCTGCTGTCTCCGCCGCTGCATGTCCGGCTGTGGGGGTGCTGGGCGTACTGGGCGTGGCACTGCTGTTGGATGTAGCCGCTACAGCTTGGGGCATCCCTGCTGTGCTGCTGCTGGAGATGTTGCTGCTGCTGCTGTCCTTCATGCCTGCAAGAACACGAAAAGGGAGAGAGAGCACACACAAAAGACGTTAGCACTGTGTCTCTGGCAGAAGTCGCTCAAGATTTATATAGAAACATGTACGATATTTGCATTGTCTTGGCAGCGGAACACGCCCCTCCCCCACCACCCCGTTCCATCTAATCTCACAATTAAATCGGAATTTACTGTTTGCTTTCCTTCGTCATGAGATTTCCGTGGGGGTTTGTCTTGGCTGCCGATGTAGCTGGGAGATGTCTTGGAGATGTCTCCATCATGGGGGCAAAGTGTGTGGCAAGAGCATAAGCCAGGTGGAGTGCCAGAAAAACATGTCTTTTGAGTCGAATTTGGAAAACACTATTCAAGCAATATTCCCGAAAATGAAGAGCATAATCTTCAGAACTCCGTATTCGAATGAATGCAGTAGTCGAACGGGAAAACCAATGTCGATTGCATACAATAATCGGATGGAGATAGTTATCAGATGGAGTCTAAAGATGTTCATTGAATAACATGTGGTAAATAATAGACAAAATAGATAAATAATAGATAAACGACCTGCTATTGCTTAGCTATGGAATGCAGTCGATTGTAGCATAAAAAGTGCCACCGAATGGAGTTTTTCCATCGATGGATGCAAACCAGTCTGAGGAGTACCGTCTGTCCATCCTTTCCATTGTCCCCTGGATGGGTGCCGGAACACCTTTGTTATAACTTTATTAAGCCAACATCTGTGCAAGGGAGCATTTGAAAATTTGCATAGAAAAACAACAGCGATAAACGTGCCGTTGCCTCATGCTCATCCCCATCCGAGTACCGGGCACGGATGCGGATCCCCAGCTCCAAGCTGCCCCCCATCGAATCCCCGTTTTCAAGCTGTTAATAAGCTTACACACATTGCGCCGAATTCCAGTAAATTAAATATTCCTGCCCCTTCCTTTGGAAAGCGCCACACCCTCGACTAATTTCCCCCTGAACGCCTCTACACCCTCTCGACTAATTTCCCTCCTGGCAGCATCGCTCTCGCGCTCTCTGCCACAAAACATGGAAGGACAAACTCAATTGTTGTGTTGCCAAACTGTTGAGGCACTTGACGCCGCCATCGCCATCGCCATCGTCATCGTCATCGCCGTGTGGCTGGCGGCTTGTATCCTGTGGCTGTCAATTCAGGAACCAGGAACACTCATCCCCAACCCCGGCTACACCTACCCCCAAAACCCACTCCATGACACTTGGCTGCCTGCCTGCCACACCCGGCCATCCATGCCACTTGCCTTGTTGCTCTTTCATTTTCGCATTTAAAAAGTTTTTAACAAGCCACAGCCGACGCCTGTTACCCGCCCAATGAAGGGATACCCTGTAGCAATCCAGCGGGGTAGATGCGGCTAAAAAATCAGGCAAGTGTGGGGGGAGGATGGCCTAGAGTTGGTCCACGAAATCTACCGCAAAGAACTCTTTTTTAAAAGTGGGAAAAGGTTTGACATCCCATAATTTAGATCAGTGCTCCACGGCCCTAAGGCTGCTCTCATCTCTTCATTGATCGTCCCCAGGAGTTCTCTTTTTTTCGATTTAATAGTAGTAAGAGTTGAAAATCCCAATTCGCATACGAGTATTGTACTTCGGAAACTGTTAGTTTTAAGTTTATCCAAGGGAAATGTTATCCGATAATGGATTTCGTAGCCAGTCCATAGTTAGCAGAAAGTACTGGGGAAAATAACAGTTAATTTTTTCTGCCAATAGCTCCAAGTGTTTCACTCTCAAGGCCTGCATTTTTTTTCTGAATCGACAGCCATGACATTTATAAACATTTCTTTACTACCATAATACCAGGTTAGAGCGAAAGATTTATATTTTTTCCGAAAACGTTAAAATATTGGAATTCCTGCCTTGCATTTTGCGGTTCAGCTCATTTAAATTGCCGCCAGATATTCTTCTTTTTAAACAAAGAACCATAATCTGAACCCTGGGCCTCTTAAAACGTCTACAGTTTATATTTCGTAAGTCCGAGATAGCACTTTTCCGCATCGTACTTCCGTGTGAAACAGAAGTGACTGATCATCGACATTAAACAGATGAAAGTTCATTAGCAAACGAATTCGCCTTGCTCTTTTAGCTTTCAGCTATTTTTAGGTGTATTATCTTCCAAAATCCTAACTGTTTTCCGCGGCACAACAACTGGTGACCACTTTACACCAGTGTGCCGCGGCATACTGACATATTGTCTATGAGAACTTGGTTAAAACTACACCGATTTATAGTTCTTTGGTTAGTTTTGTTAAACAGAGAAATTACTGTCTAAAATTGTGTGCAATTTGTCGTTCTTATCCGGAGTTTCCTTTCCTTTGGAGGTATCCTTTGGATGTTTAAGAAATGGTTGGAAGTGGGTCCTTAAAGTTGAAACACAAGACGATCTGATATTTACCGATTGGTTTAAGAGTCCCTAAGTTAATTAATGTTTAGTATAGGGTATTCCTAGTCTACTACTATATATTTCCCTACTTCATCTTTTTTTGCGACTTTCATTTCATTTCGTTTGCGTTTCCTTCGTTTCATTTGCTGTTTTTCCTGTGCGGGGATTGGTAGGTATTTCATTTTTATTGTTTTTTCATTTCGTTGTAAAAATATATAAAGTTTTAAAAACTTTTGCAGTATCCAAAGGAATATATGAGTGGCAGAATTGGGCGGGTGCTGATGGTGTGGTGTCGGTGGGGGCCTTGATTTGCATTTTTTGGCAGCCGCCCGTCCGCTTTTGGAGCTGGGGAATTTTTGCGACAAAGTTGAAATTAGATTATGCTAATTAAGGCGTTGTCATAGCGGGGGCGTGTACATGGTCACAGCGGGGCGGTGGGTGGTAACGGGAAGCCTGGGGGGTGGGCGTGGCTGGGCATCTGCCGAAAGCAAAAAATTTGTTGATTTGCCAGAGCCCTGATTGATGCCGGAGCAGAGCTTTAATTGCCATTTTTTATGAATAGCCAAAGGAGGCACTTAATGAGGAGGGGGGGGGGGGGGGGGAAGGTGTGGTTTGGCGGCCAGAAGTGGAGTTGGGGCAGCATTTTAATATTCAATCAGCAGCTGTCGGGAAGTTTTTTTTCTTTTATGGCCCAGACCCAAGTTTCGAGGAACTTTTTGCAGCTGAGAAAGCTGGGAGAATGGATGAGACTCTTGGACCAAGACTGAGATTGAGGATGGAACTGGAACTGGAGAGGAGGACTGGTACTGAAACTCTGGACAGAACTGGAGCGAAGGATGGAACTAAAGCTGAGAACGGGCAGAGACTTTGAGGATTAATGCGCAAAGTGCATTTCGACTTTGGACCGACTTTTGTTTGTCTTTCGTCTGCGGGGATGACTGTGGAAACTTACTTTTCCATAATACATAATTCCTTGGTGCGTTGTTTCTTCTTCTTCCGTTTGCAAACAGCGGCAATTAAAAGCAAAGCAGACCAACGCTAACACACACACCCTGCCACATCACTGCCCTTGGGAGTCACAGTCACCCACTCAAGGTTGGGCAGAACTGATTGATGTGGCATCAGTGGAAGCGGCGGATCGTCGCTCCCACCACCGGGAGGAGGAGTTGCAACCCTTGCACACACACACGCACACACTTAACTGGCACTTGGGCTGTGGGCAACCTTATAACATAATTACAGCATATCCAACAGCCGTAAGTCGCGTCAGAGCAGTGACTTGGGGATGGAGAGAGAGTGAGCCATCAGCAACCCTCTCGACAGCCAGCCCTGAGTACAAGCTCACCTGGCGTGCAACCCCGATCGAAGGCTTAGGTTTCCCCCGAAGCATGGAAGGCGGCAGGCGCCCAATTCGGGGCAATCTAGAAGGTTTCCATAAGCGAAAGGACACAGTGGCTTAGAGATTCGAGACTTTCGCCATGAAATATTAATAAGAGTACCGATATCGCGCAAAAATGTATCATTCCAAATATTATTCTTGGGTATTTCAGATTATAAATAGATGATTTATCAAAGATATTGGTTTAAATTCAAATTTTTAGATGTAAATCGGGAGATGGAAAACAGATTCAGATCAGAAATTCTCATAGAGAAGGGACCTAAAACCAGTCTAAATGTTTTCTGTCGCGGCAAACGTCTCTCGACATCAAGATACTGATTAGTTCCGGTACTCCTTTTAAAAAGGACCTTGAATCTTTAAAATACCTAGAATACTTGGAGAAAAAAAAACAGAGCAGTACAAGAGTTTCCTTTTGGGTTGTACCCTTGTTCAATTGGTCCCCATTTGCATTACCCCTTTCCATTTGTGTTCCTGTCCTGTGCTTGCCCCTGCCAGGCACACACACACTCGTGCGGACACACATGGACATTCAGCCATCCAGACACCCATGAACTTGCAGTGACATGTCGTTGTGGTGTTAACGTTACATCGTTTGACTGCGAATTAAAATAATGTGCCACTTGTGGCTCTTTGCAGGATGTGTGCGTGCGTGTGTGTACGGACTACACTCCATATGCAGACAGACAAGGGGATTCCCATTTCACCCATTCCTCCATTCCCCCAGGCCCTGGCCTGTGTCTGTGTCTGTGTCCTGTGCGTCGCCTGAAAATTTGACAAAATTTCATTTGCAACTTTGGTCGTTGCCACACATCGTTGCCCAAATCGAATTTGATTTGAACCCTTTCGGCAGGTTCTCTCTATGGAGAGTGATCCGTGTCCTGGGGAGTGCACTGTCAGGGGCTGTCTGTGGCCTTGATGTGTGTCTGAGTTATGGCTAAATAATTTCAGCTTCATTTTGAAGTTCACATCGGGTTGCATGACACCAGGAATGGGAAGTGTGTGTGCTGTGGTTTGGCTTTGGTTCATTGAATGATAATGGGACTGGAAGTGGTACTGGGAGTTGAACAGAACATAGGGGATTATACACTTACAAATGATCCAATTCGTAGATATTCATTGAGTTCAAAGGAAAGGAATTGCTACTTTTCTTTTAACTAATCAATTTCATGTTGGATCTGTCTTTAAAAAACCAAAGACA